TTTGGCAGGGAGTACCCGCCGCTGCCGGACCGCGCCTCGTGCTTCCCCACCAGCGTGTGCGAGGAGCCCTTCATCGAGACCATCCCGCCCACGCTCACCACGGACCGCCTGTGCTCCTGCGACACGCTCACATGCAACAAGCTCGTCACGCAGTTGTTTGAGGAGATGGTGTGCGCTGACCCCACGGACGAGCAGCTCGACGTGGTGCTTGACGTGTGCTGCTCCGGCCAGGGCGAGGATGGCATCTGCGACACCATTTGCCAGATGGACGCCTACGAGGCACGCCGCTCCTGCCCAGGCTGCACAGACACGTGCGAGTGCAGCGCTGGCTTCATCCTTGTCTACGACGCCGATTCGGCCGACTGTCGGCCGTGCGACAGCGTGACGGAGTTCTCCCCATCCATTGGCGGCAGCAAGTGCGAGCCCATTGAGGAGTGTGAGCGCGGCCAGGAGGAGGTCTCCGCGCCAACCCGCTCCTCGGACCGCGTGCGCCGCGACTGCCCGGCCGGCACCATCGACTCGGACAGCGACGGCTCCACGGGTTGCCAGTTGTGCCCCGCTGGCCACTACACGGAGGCGGGCTCGCACGGCTCCTGCTCCAGCTTCACCTGCCGCGCAGGCACCCACCACCACCACGACAGCGACCCCACCACCACGTGCATGGACGTCACAGAGTGCGCATCCGGGCATGAAGAGGTGCAGGCCATGACGCTCCTCATCAGCGACCGCGTCTGCGACGAGTGCACAGAGGGCACGCACAAGGCTGTCTCTGGCCAGGGCGTGCCCTGTCTCCCCGTCACCACGTGCGACGCCGGCGAGGAGGAGACAGCCGAGCCCACCCCCACGAGCGACCGCGTGTGCAGCTAGTGCGAGCTTGGCGCCACCTTCAAGCCCGTCGACGGCCAGGCCGAGGCGTGCCGCCCCGTCACACAGTTCGGCGCGTATGAGGAAGAGATTCGCAAACTTACGCGCCAGCACGACCGCCTCTGCCGCAAGTGCGTCCAGGACACGCGCGTGCCCGTGTCGCGCTGCGCGGGCTCGGGTGCATTTTCTCGCATGGCCGCGAGCAAGTGCGAGTTTGGCACCTTCCAGAGCCAGGCACCCACGCTCGACTCTGACCGCGAGTGCGCGGCAGGAGGTGGTCGGGGCGCTGGTAGCGCACATTGGCACGAGGCAGGCACAGGAGGTGGACGCAGCCATGTCTGTGCTGCTACTGTCCCTGGCCACAGGCCACCTGAAGTTGCTGCACCCGATTGCGCTCATGTTGAAGGGCACCCTGGACTGCCTGAGCACCCTGCACTTCATCCACATTCTGCAGCTCTTCTGTGTCCTGACCACGCTCACGTTTGACCGCCAGCGCCGCCGCCGCAGGCCTCATAGGAAGATGGTGTGTGTGTGTGTGTGTGTGTGTGTGTGTGTGTGTGTGTGTGTGTGTGTGTGTGTGGACGTGTGTGAGTGTGTTTGAGTGAGTGAGTGTGTGTGTGTGTGCGAACTTGTGCGTTGGAGAAAGTGTGTTGGAGTTAAGTCTGTCTTCCATGAAGACTGTCTCTCACCCTTTCCACACCACCGCCTGATCCCCACCACCACCACCGCAACCATTCCTTCTGCCTTGCACCCCGTGTATGACAGCTGTCTCAGTCGAATGAAGCGCTGAAACGCATCGGCACCATCGCTGCCACCACCGTCACCTGCACCTGGCTCGCTCTCGCCAGCGACATAGGCATCTCCGTGCGTTTGTGTGTTCATGCGTGCGTGTGTTTACGCCCTTGTTTTGCGCCCTTGTTTTGCGTTCACGTGAGTTCCCCGTATGGACTTGTCGTGCCCCTCCTCATCCACCACTCACCCGTCTCCTCGCCTGTCCAACAGGCAACCATCTCTCCTCTCATCTATGTCGACAAGTGCGTTCAGCTGACATGCACCGTTACCACTACGCCTCCACGTCCACGCCCAGCCACTGCCCATCCATCATCGTGGTGTCGTTTCCTCCCACGCTCCCCAGCACCAACAGCCATCAAGAGCGAGCACATCTGCCGGGATGCGTGCACGGGGATGGTGGGCTCACCATCGACCACCACCGCCCACGGCCGTATGGGTTCAGGTCGCTCGCCCACCCTGGCAGGCACGTGTGGAGGGAGCCGGGACCCCAAGCGCACGTTCCAGCACAACAACACCGTCAACACGATTGTGGTTTGCGCAGACGGACGGGTGCGCCCCAAACGCGGGAGACGTGCTCTAACTTGTCGCCCGAGGACACGCGCGCGCGCGAGGTGGACAAGGACACGCACGTGGTCGTCAACGAGAAGACGCTGCAGGCGCCGTTCGAGACGAAGCTGAAGCTGCTGTCGGGGATTGCCGCCGAGTTCGCGGGCATGATGCGCAGCAAGACCGACGAGGAGACAAGACTGCGGAAGCACGCTGCCGGAACGCAGACCTCTTCACGTTCCTGACGTCGCTGCAGCCCTTTGTATGGTGGGACCTGTCGCTGGAGACGGGCGACCTGAACCCGGAGGAGGAGACGGTGGAGGAGGTGCAGCAGGAGAGTTGAGCGCATCCCCGATTGGCGTGGGCGTACGGTGACGACGTGCTGTTCCGCACGGTGGCGGACAACGAGTCTAGGCTGGCGACCCAGCCCTCCGACAAGGCTGCTGGGCGCCGTGCACGTTGAGCGGCCGAACCTGCTGCCGATGCCGCCGCACATTCACGTGCTTATGGAACTACTTTTCCACCGGCCGCACCCTGGAGCTGATGCGTGGATGGGTTGGTGAAGTGGATGCGAGAGCCAGTGTTTGGTTGACGTGTGGTGTGGAAGGTTGTATGCTAGTTGCTTGTCAGCCGGTTGGATTGCGTGAAGAGTTTACTAAAGTGCCAAACAAGCAACGTCAAGCAAGTAAAAGCAAGTGGCAAGCACGTAAAGGAAAGACAGGACCAAAGGAGCAAAGAGAGAAACCAGCAAACCAGCAAGCACACACACACACACACACACAGCACACACACACACACACACACAGAGCACACAGTCAAGTGGTGGCGTTGATGCAGCTGTTGATGGCGGTGCACCAGTCTGCGAGCGAGGTGTCAGAGCGCGCGTCCATGCGGAAGACGAATGTGCGGCCAGGAACAGCAACGTGCAGCTCTTCGTCACCATGGGCGAGCTCAGCTGATAGCACGTTGGAAAGGGAGATGCGTCGCTTGGCCGTGCTTGAAGCGGACGTGCCGTACGCGAAGTGGCCGTCGTCGTCAAGCTTGCACCAGCACGGGCGAAAGGCGGCCCTCCGTCGCACACGCTTCCGCAACCAGCCGGCCAGGGGCTGTTGTGGAGAACGCTCCTGCGGCTCAGACTCATCTGCTGCGTCTTGTTGGCCAGCCTCATCTTGCACTTGGTCATCGCCGTCCCCTTCCTGTTGCTCGTCGTCGTCGTCCTCGCCCAGGGAGGCGGCTGTGCGTGCACCGCCGTCATCGGGCTCGTCGTCACCGCGAATGCGCCGCAGATTGCGCTCCGCCTTGCGGGTGTTTGGGTGGTCTGGCCCGAGCGAGGTCGCAAAAACGTCGAGTGCCTGCTGCATGTATGAGCAGGCCTGCTCCTTGTCGCCGCGGTCGTTGTGCAGGAGGCCGATGTTATTGCACGTATCGGCCGTGTCCGGGTGCTTCACTCCCAGCGTCTCCACCGTGATGGCGAGGGCCTTCTCGTACAGCTCAATAGCCTTCTCGTACTCGCCCTTGCTGTGGTATGCCTCGCCGAGGTTGTTGTACGTCGTGGCTGTGCTCGGGTGCTTCTCGCCCAACACCACCACCGTGATGGCGAGCGCCTTCTCGTAAAACGCAATCGCCTTGTCGTAGTCGCCCTTGCTGTAGTTGGCGATGCCGAGGCCTAGATACGAATTGGCCGTGCTCGGGTGCTTCTGCCCCAGCGTCTCCACTCTGATGGCGAGCGCCTTCGCATACAACGCAATCGCCTTGTCGTAGTCGCCTTTGTCGTCGTAGGCACTGCCGAGGTTGTTGTACGTGTCGGCTGTGCTCGGGTGCTTCTCGCCCAGCGCTTTCACCCGGATGGCGAGGGCCTTCTCGTAATAATCAATCGCTTTGCCATACTCGCCCTTGCTGCGGTAGGCGATGCCGAGGTTGTTGTACGTGTCGGCTGTGCTCGGGTGCTTCTCGCCCAGCACCTCTGCCGTGATGGCGAGGTCCTTCTCATGAAAGTGGATGGCCTTGTCGTAGTCGCCCTTGCGTTGGTAGGCAAGGCCGAGGCCCAGATATGCGCTTGCTGTTCTCGAATGCTTCTCGCCCAACGTCTCCACCCTGATGGCGAGCGCCTTCTCATGAAAGTGGATGGCCTTGTCGTATTGGCCCTCGCTAGAATAGACGCTGCCGAGGTTATTGTAGGTGTCGGCCGTGTTCGGGTGCTTCTCCCCCAGCGTCTCCAACCTGATGGCGAGCGCATTTTCGTACTGTTGGATGGCCGTGGCGTACTCCCCCTTGCTGTGGTATGCGGCGCTGAGATTGTTGTAGATGTCGGCCGTCTTCGGGTGCTTCTTCCCCAGCGTCTCCAACCTGATGGCGAGCGCATTCTCGTACTGTTGGATGGCCTTGGCGTACTCGCCTTTGCTGTGGTATGCGGCACCGAGGCTGTTGTACGTGTCGGCTGTGCTCGGGTGCTTCTCGCCCAGCACCTCCACCGTGATGGCGAGCGCCTTCTCATAGAACGCAATCGCCTTCTCGTACTTGCCCTTGCTGTAGTTGGCGATGCCGAGGTTGTTGTACAACGCCGCCACGTTCCCCCCTTTCTCCCCCTCGGTGCGCAGGCGAATTGGCAGTGCTGCTTTGTAGAATGTAATGGCCTTGTCGTGCTCGCCAAAGTCGTTCAGCACCAGCCCAACCTGGTTGCACAGCCCCGCGAAGGCGTCAGTGCTGTCCTCGCCTCGTGCTCGCATTGCTTCGACGGCACCCACCGCCTTTTGCAGGCACCACGCGCGCAGCTGGTCCTTCACGGCCTGGTTGACGGCACCAAAACCGCCAGCCCACGACTCGATCGCCGTGAAGATCATGTGTTTGTCGTGTGGATTGAAGGCGTCGGCCCGCTCAGCCTGCACGCGCACCAGCATATCAGTCACCACCTTCGAGCGTTCTCGGATTGCCTCTTCCAGCGCCTTCTCCTCGCTGTTGGGTAGTTGGATGGTGACCTCTGTGCCCTCGTTACTGATGCCACAGAAGATCTCCCACAAACACCACGCGCGTGTCAAGGGAACAGGGTCTCGCCACGGCATGAGCACCAGCAGCACATGGCCAATGTTGGCAATCGACTGCTTGAACGTCGTGCTCCACCTGGGTGTCGAGAAAGGAAAAGGGGGAAGGATGGAGGGAAAAGGAAGACAGGGAGGCAAGGGGAGAGGTTGCAGTTCTTGTGAGGGAACAGTGTGCGTGTGTCTGTGTACGTGTGCGTGTGGCAGTGGTTGTTGAAGGGCACAAGAGTTACACACACACACACATATGCACACACACACACACACACACACAC